TCTCACGTACGGATACGTGAAAGTGATGGCGGGAAGTTACTGAATAACAGTACTACCACATTCTGAACGGAAGGTGCATCTTCATACAAAAATGCGTTAACCTATGTAAATCGTGGATTATGTTCTGTCTTACCTAGTATGAGGATGTAAAAATAATGAAATTCAACAGCAGATATCGCTCGAATAGCACAGCGAACATTAATGTGCCTGTAGTAGATTTTTTACACGCTTAATGGTGTATTCCCAATAGCGTTTCCTCACTGGATCAAGCTCTTTCAACTCCTCCAGCAGTGCTACAGCACGTTCAGCATTCGCCTGAAACGATCCTGAGTAGTATCACATAATATTTCACGCAATGACTTATGGTTTTTGCGTAAGGAACAATTGCACAATCACGATGCAGTTCCCTGGTCCCCGGCTCGACCTTTGGACACCCTACCCTTGTTAAAGCTTTGCACTTAGTGATCTCCGGCATCTGGGGTATAAAAGCACCGCTCCCCATCTCCATCCCCGGGTCCAGACAGTCGTTCTTATTCAACCCTGTTCTGGAAAGTTCTGGAGAGCTTCGGCTCCTCAGAACTTCGCCACCTCTTTTCTCTGTCTCTGTTATGCGCTGTGTTGTTTAAGTTTCGTGCATATTTATACCCCTAGTTATATATACCTCTAGGAATTTCGATACACACTCATACACATACACACACACACAGAGCACTTCCCACTAATGTAGCATGTTAACTTTTTGGGTCGCAACAGTAGTTTCTCCAAATAAAATTTTTTGCGCAAATAACACCGAAAAACCAGGCCATTATTTAGCAGTTATTTCAAGAATTGAAGTAAATCTGCATACCAAAATAAAATTAAAAATCACTTGAATTTTTATAAAAATTTCTACCAAACGTACCTCAACATCCATTTTGCGCTCAATTTTCTCCACCAAAATATCCACAATGAAACTGAGACAAAGTGGGACGCGTTTCTCCTTGCTAAGTTCTTCGCAAAATTGCAATACATCGGCTCGCGATGAAATGCCACTCTAAAATTCTTTTATAAAAATAATTCAGAGTATTGGAAACACCGAAACAGTGCAATTCGGGTTTGGTTTTTGGTTCTTTTCCACCATAATATTCCTTTTCAGCCAACTTATTTTTCAGTTAAGAAGCGGCGACAGAGTCGAAATGGAAGGAAAGAAAATGAAGGCAAAAAAAAGCTGTAGGGATTAAGAAGCTAAGAGAATGATTGGGGTAAGAGTTTCAGCCCATTAAATCGTAAACTTCTTAGCTTGAGACCGTCAACTCGCGGATCCAAAGGGGGTGGTGAGTCTTCCCCCTCCCCTTCCCCAGCGGCACAGGTGGCAGTGCTAATACTGAAGAAAACTCTCTTCCGCACCTCCAGTCGCCCCCTCCCCTCAGGAGCCGCATCCACCCCTCCCCAGCTTGTTGCCAACAGAAGCCCCACTCGTCGCTCCCTCTCCCTTCCCTTTCCCCTCCTCCTCCCCTCCCAGAAGGCCGTCCTAGATCCGTATGTGGTACCGACAGACAGTACACTTTGACAGTACGATGATTGCGATGCATATTTAAAATGCTCTCCCCCGCCCCCCCCCCCAACAGCGTTTTTGCCCTGCTACCATAGGCGGATCCAGAGGGAGGGGGCGATGGGTCTTTCGCCAGCGGCACAGGTAGAAGCGGCGCATGTAGCAGTGCTAAAACTGTAGAAAACTCTCTTCTGCACCCCGTCCCCCTACCTCCAATCTCCGCGTCCGGAACCCGCACACAACGGCTCCCTCTACTACCGCCGATGCGACATCCAGCGTTCTATGCCGCAGCGGGGTAAGAACACCCGAAAAAAAATCGGCCGCAGATCGTGTATTAAACCGACCAAGCCGAGCCTAGCCGTGTTTTAGTAACTACCTAGAAAGACCATGTTCCTCTTAACAGCCTCATTCCTCTCCCTCCTCCTCTCCCCTTCCCTCCAGCCCCTTGCCCCCGCCCCCACCCTCCCCCCTCCCCCCACGAGGTCACCTTGGATCCGCCCTTGTCAACTACTGGCTGGCTTTTAAGTAACATTATGCAAATGCTAAGATTAGCGGATGGAAGGGTCTATTTGAACAAAGTAACGGGGGATGCGATCAGCTCGAAACCAAGGAAAATGAGAATTCAGCCCACTATTTCGATGATAAGAAATAACTCAACGATAACACAGAACCTGCTCAAAACGAGTATTTTTGCGAAAAGCATTCTTCCACTTGCCCTGCTTGCTTCGCAAAAAGTAAAAAAAAAAAAAACAGAAAGATCTCTCTCCTTTTCTAAAAAAAAAGGAAAAAAAAAATCCGGAAAACTCGATTAATTCATCTCAAAGACTACAAATGAATTGAGGCTTACATCAAGCAATATTCCAGAGAGGTAGTTCCATGCACTTTCATTGTTTGGTATTTTCTTAATCATTGATTCGGTCAATGCAATTTCACGATTCAATACATCCGGATTCTAAATATAGATCATTGAACGATGCAAAAAAAAAAGAGACGTACCAAACTGAAATTAATCCGCCCAAAAAAAGGTATTTTTTGAAAAAATATCAATCTTTTTCCTCCCCGCCGGCACGGTACCTCGCCTTAATCTAAGAGTTAGAACATCAGAAACAAGACTGGCGATAAATAAACATCAGAAGTATCACCAGAAATAGCTGCCCAGCTGGAAAAAAGGCTATCGATAACTACCAAAATTTGCATAAATGCGAAAATTCACGCAAAAATTTCTCCCAAGCTCTTCTTCCCTTCCAGCTTCTCCTGTTTTTTTTAGATTACCCCACTTTTTTCGATTCTTTTTTTGTGCGAAAAATTTATGCACCAAGGAGATTTGTAATTTTCAGGGGACTAACTTTTAAGTCGTCCAATCCTTGCAATATGAAATATCGATAGTTCCAGGCCGAATTATTACGCATATCTTCAAGCATCAGTGCAGCGCTGAAATCCAGTTCCTGGGTGCGAAACAGTCCGAATGTTTCGACAACCCAATGTCGATGCTGCCAGGCATGGTAATTTTTCGATTCCTCATCAAGCATTTGTGCGGTAAAATCGAGTTCACGGCTCGCATCATTGGTCCATTCGACCAGTGTTCGACGATGATGCCAAACTGCAAAACAGTGCAGGCATATGGCCCAATTTTGTTGAAAAAACGTATATTATTGCCTTATGGGCCCGCTGGATAAGGCAATAGGAAGTAGCACCGTGCAGTAGGTCGAAAATTTGGCTCCGCCGGTTCGATAACCAATTTTTTTACGATTCGTTCAATCGTTTCGATGGTAAATTGGTAGTAGCGCATGCTAAGGAGTGAAAGGAACTATCAACTTACTTCCTGCATATCCCATAATCATGATTCTTCCCCTTTTTCCTCGCATCTTTCTCCTCTTTTCTCTTACTTTTCCATTAAATATTGCGACCGTCATACTGACGAGGTTCTGTCGCGGTGTTGAGTTAAGACCTATATGACTTAATGGACCGAAACGTCTTATTTGAGGTTAAAAGAAAATTGTACAAATGCCGTTGAAAAATACAAGGATGATAGAAAAGATAAAAAAAGATGATAGAAAAGACAAAAAGGATGGATGTGGAAAAGAAGTATTAAATTAGGTAAGAAATGTTTCGGTCCATTAAATCGTATACATTTCTTATCGCTACCACAGTTAGATCTCATCAGTACGACGACTGTGGTAACAATATAATTTAGCTAAGAGTAAGAATTAATTAAAATCGAAAAGATGTAAATATTGGTAATGATCACTCTTATCTCACTCTCTTGCCTTCTTTCCCCATACTGTTCCTGCTTCCCGTATTTAGTTGCGCCTTCGACTGCTTCGGTTCCCAGGGTCAACCTGAATGCTACAATCGGCTTACTTGTAAGTAATCTCTAAAAAGGGAGCCAATTGATAGCTTTGCCAGTGAGGTTTGTTGGTTACATTTGCTACCACTCGGACTATTTCTCAACGAATTTGGAGAGGGATTTTGGTTTTTAGTGAATCGTAACAAACTATTAGACATCATTTTAAGTGCCAATACATACAAATTTCCATCTGCCATTTATATCGATAGAAAAATATAACTTTTGCAGATTAGCATCATGAATAAAAACAAACCACAGGCGAAATCCTGAGCAGTTAAACCGGAACCTTTCAGCATTTACTCTCCATGAAAGGCGGAAGCACTTGGAAGTAGTCCGAATGGTAGCAAATGCCAACATAAGAATATTCGCTAGCAAAGCTTTCGATGGCTCCCCCTTTCAAGATTGTTTAAAAACAAGCTAATGATGGTTCCGAATCCGTCGTAAGTGCCAGTACAAATCTGACGTCTAATAAAAGAATCACAAGTCCATGTGAGAAATCGAATTTTCGCCCTTCAGCACCACAACCCTGCCAATTGCCACGTTCCAGAAAAGGAAAAAGAACAGTCTAGATAGCAAAAAATGCGTTTAGGCCGACTGAAAAGCAACCAGGTTGACCTTGGAAGCTTAAATGGCGAAGACGCGATAGATTACAGCATGAAGGAACAGTAAGAGGAAAGCAGGTAAGAGTGAGATAAGACGTTTCGGTCCATTAAATCATATACGTCTTAACTCAACACCGTGGCAGGACCTCGTCAGTATGGCAGTCGCAGTGCTTAATGGAAAAGAAAAAGAAAAGGAAAACGGCAAGAGGAAACAAAAGGAGAAACGATATGGTTGTGGGACTGGAAGAACAGCATTGTTTTTTGAAGGATAAACAGACCTTGATAGTTCTTAGGATTGTCTTCGATCACCTCAGCAATGTAATCAAATTCCTTATTCAGATCAATTTTCAATGCTTTTAGCAAAGCACGCCGATATTGCCAGACCGTATAATTAGCCGGATTCAATTCTACACATCTGCAAAAGTAATTCAAGCTGGTGCAAAAACCGGAAGCTCCAGAAATAGCCAGTCAACCGAATATTAGGAAAAGGGAGTAAGCTGCTTCTTATCTCTTGTATGGAAGAAGATAAACAAAACTCAACCAGGCCCCGAAATACGATCAAAAAAAAAAAACACAACACACAACGATGGCAGTGAGGTTCCCGATAAGGATTTTCAATAAAATTTTCGAAGGATTTCGGCATGACATGAGATTTTTCAAAAAGGAAATATAAATTTCCTCGCCTAAACAGGAAGCATAAATTTCCCCGCTATCCATCACATCACCAGTCAGTGCCCTTCATGACCAATCTAGCAGCACATTTACTGTGTATCTGCATTTCAAGGCAAAATAAACTTTTTCTTTTTAAAAAATAAACTTTTTTTTTTTTGCTTTCCATAGACAGTACACATCCATTTCTTCGCGACGGGTTCTTCTGTGCTGATTTTTAGCTAGTTTTCCGCGAAAATAACCAAATTTTATCATGTTCGTGTTATGCCAATTGTAGCAACCACGATAACCCTTGAACTTAACCCTGGAAGCCTAGATGGCGAAAGCGCAATAGATTACAGCATGAAAGAACAACATCGAAAAAGAGGGGAAGAGTAAGATAAGATGTTTCGGTCCATTAAGTCATATACGTCTTAGCTCAACATCGCGCGACTGAACCCCGTGGCAGTATGACGGTCGCAGTGCCTCTCTCCTCTCCTCATCCCCATTTATTCTCTTCCTTTCACATCTCACCATAATTCTCTTCACCAGAGATTTTTACTGCTTCATTGCTGTTAATACTTTTTTTGATCTTTGAATAAACCAAAAATTATCAAATTCTATTTACTTATAAAAATGGCCGAACTCCTTTTCCCTCTCGCTAAGAGGCCTGGGGGTTCCACTTACCGAGTTGTGAGGTTGAAAGCACGCATGGACATCTCGTTGCTGACAAGGACTGCACGCAAATACATGAAAGCATCGTTGAATGCATCACTGGTGGCAATGCGCACGGCTGCCTGCTCGTTATCGGTGAGCGGTATGGGTACCACGTCGTCCCATTCCGGATCATCACGATATCGACGAAGCTACAATGAACAGGATTTTAACCGAACAAAAATACCTCATAAAAAAAAAAAAAACAGTCCTCATGTTAAATTCATTCCTTTTCCGATGCACTTTAACTTGATACTTTTTAAATTTTTGGGTAAAATTTGGTGGAAATTTTTCGG